AAAAAAAAAGGGGCCTTGTGGCCTTTGCCTCTGCGGATGGCCAGCTGGTGGCTTGGGATATTATTGGTTATCTATGTAAACCCGACTGAGGCCTCTACCTCTGTCTCTGTCTCTCCCTCTCTGTTGGACCAGGACCTCAGCCTGGCCTTCTGCACAGCCACCACATTTGGATTGGGGGAGTCCCTGCCCTTTGTCTCTGGGAACTTGGCTCCTTCTATTTCTGTAAAATCATAAACTCCTGTCCGAGTCTCTTTCTTGGCCTTTGGCCTTGGTGACTGGGAATGATCAGGGACACCTGACCCTCCCTGTCTGCCTCCAATGTTGGTATCTCTCTGGCTAAGACAGGGGTGCCTTTTTCAGCCTCAGATTTACCCCGAGCTGCCTGGGCACCATAGGAAACCAAAATTCCAAACCAGAACCACATACTCCTTGGGGTTGCTTATTGGCCAATCTCAAACCTGTAGGCCTAAGACCTGACCCTCAGACCAAAAAAGCTAATCTTCCTCTGTAACAGGGAATGGCCTACGCGCCAGTTCCATAACCAGTCTCACTGGCCTGAAAATGGGACTTTAAATTTCAACCTGTTAACTGATCTCCACAATTTCTGTGAGGGACGGAAAGTGGGCTGAAATTCCTTATGTCCAGGGGTTTCTCTACTTGAGCTCCTGTCCCTCCCTCTGCCTGTTCTGCTCTCCATCTGAAATTCTGCTTGTGCAGCAACATTCCTCCAAAAGCTCCCCCACTGCCCTCTCCTCCTGCCTCTCTTCAAAAGCTCCCTCCATTGCCCCTCTCTTGACATGACCCCACCTGCAGCATGACCACCACCTGATTCCACTGTAGGGCCTGTTTCCGGCCCAGACCCCTGGGCCAACCCCTACCTCAACCACTGATCCACAGCCCCCAGTGCCTGCTCCCAGCCCCAACCCCTGCCTTCGATTTCCCTTCCCCTGATGCTGGCCAGACTCACACCTAAACTAAGCCGCAGAGCATTTCTTTCTCTGCGGGAGGTAGCTGGGGCAGAGGGCCGGTGCGGGTCCATGTTCCCTTTTCATTAGGGGACCTGTCTCAAATTGAGACCTGCCTGGGTTCTCTCTCCAACGACCCATCCATCTTTATCAAGGAGTTTCATCACCTACGCAGGCTTATGACTTGACCTGGCATGACTTCTATGTTATACTCTCCTCTGCTCTCAGGCTTACCAGGAGGAGGTGCATCTTACTGATACTACTATACCTGTGGGAGCCCATGCAATCCCCAAACAGGACCCGTTGGGGATGTCAGGTAGATACGCAAGCAGCTTGCAATGGCCACTGGGAAGTGATAAAATGTGGTTCAGTGCCCCAACCAGGGAGTTCCCCTGGGAGTGGACCCCAGTAAAACTTGCCTTTACCCACCTTTGCCTCTTTCTGCATGGTCTTTTCTCACCTAAAACCTTACAGAATTAGTCTCTGGTTTCTTCTCAGGTAGCTGTGTGATTTCTATACCCACGAACTTAGGAAAAGTTTTATAAACCTTTCCTAACTAGTTTAATCATTACAAGGAAGGAGCTCCAGTAGACGGATGCAGTAGCAAGATATATACAAAGCACATGGAACACCAGGAGCAGACAAGGTGGTAACCCATGTTTCTCTTAGCATTTCTGACTACTTTACAACATGTCCTTCAACTACAGTAGCTATTTATTATTCTAATTTGGGGACAAGGACCATTTTTATTTACTTTTGTGGGGTGGTGGTGATGGTGTTGTTTTTAATTCTGAGATGGCTGATCAGGCTACTTCCGACTTGGGCTCAAGCAATCCTCCCATGACAGCCACTCCTGTAGCTGCGAGTACAGATGTGTCACCATACCTGACCCATTCTGGTAGTTCCTCCCAGCCCCCCAGCACCCCGGTGGTGGTGTTTTGTGTATGTGGTACTGGGGTTTGAGCTCAGGGCCTTGTATTTTAAGACCAAAGTACTAAGGAAGAATACTAAAACATACTGGGCTGGGAGGAATCACCAAATGGTTCAAACTTTATCTGAAATTCCACTAGAAACCAGAGAAGCAAAACATTCAGTAAAGGCCAAACCCCAAAGAAACACCTACCTCTAGGCTTGATTCTCCCTCCCTCCCATCAGACCCAAGACCCCTCTGAACCTCATCTACCAGGAAAACCAAAGACTCATGACACAGGAGTATGGTCTACGTGAAAGGAAATAACTAAGTTCTTCCAAGGTCACCAGTGGTGCTAAGAAGTGTGAAAACGGTCCTTCCTATTTAGGGTGAGAATCAGTTCCTTCAGAGGCAGTTGGCAAGGCATGTGCTCCAATCACCACCCTGGAAGAGAGGACCAGGGCTGCTACGAAGCCTGAGACCACTGTACTTTTTGTGTGCCACTGGTTATCAACCAAATTCCTAGGATATTAATGGGTAATACACCAAAGCAGCTGTTCAGTGGCTGACCGCTTCCATTTTAACCCTGTCTGTTACCTGCTCCAGCTGTTTCTGAACCATACTCTGCTGCTCTGTGACATGCTTGAGCTGTTCTGCATCTTCTTCTGGAAATTCTCTCCCTGCCTTCTTGGCAGTGCGCTGTTTTGCTGAAAGGGCTTTCTTAGACTTTCTGTGTGCACCAATTTGTTCTTCAAGGTACTTCTGCTGCATTTGAAGGAGCTGTTGGGTCTCCTGAAGCCATTCTTCATACTGCTTACGCTGAGAGTCATCTGAGGAGAAAAACAATCAAAATTTCATCTGTGTTAATTTTCTAGAAGGGGTCAAGATTAACAGCTATTTCCATTTTGTATGGAAATATAGTTTCACCATGACTATTTAAAAGAAAATTAGAAAACAAAAATTTAAATATCAGACAGAACATTATGTAACTATGTAGTAGCAGATTTTAGAAAATATTTTACCAAGAAAGCTAGAGAATATGTATTTAGGATATCAGTTAACATATACAAATTACAAATCGAGTCTTCAAAATTCAGAAGACTTTTACTAATGAAATGTTTTTACCTATAGAATTATCAAATTAGCAAATCTACTTATCCAAACTACATTATTACATTGTATGTGCATTTTTACTAATTCAACTTTAGAGATTTTGAAGAGACAAAAATCTATCCCTTTAAGGTCCAGAGCAGAATTAGGTAATCATATCCATGCTAACTCTCCTTAATTTATAAGGCTTTCCTATTTTGTGACTAGTGAAAAGAAAATGTACAGAACAGAAGGAGGGAGACCAGAATGTTTTAGAAAGGGCAAGCTTGAAATATGTTTTATAAGAGAATATGAATATTGATTGATAATTTTTATTAATTTTGTAACATTTTTATAAATAAGGGCAAAGCTAAAAAAAGTCTTTTGTCTCCGATTGCTCATACACCTCCCACAAATAGACACATCTCTTCATCTTGTATCAATATTCTCCTTATTTTCTAAGGGCACTTTACTCCACTAATGCCAAGTCCCCCAAAAAATTATCTCATGTAATGAAAAATTCTGAGTATACCTTTATAACTCACTACAAAACAAAGAAATGAATAAATACAATCCTAAAAGGACATTCATGAAAATAACATCAATAACAGAATATTGTCATACATTAAGAATCCAACCAAAGCCCATGGGCACAATAAAGCCAGAAAAAGCCAGTTGGTTTCAGTGGTTTGCTTGTTTTAAATGCAAATATAAGGTTCAAATTATAATCATAATTAATGTAGGGGAATTTCAAAAGGTCAGACTTTGGGTTTGTTCCTAAACCCAGAAGTTCCAGTACACACATAAACTTGGAATCTAGTCTTCTAAATTTGAAGGGCATTTTTCAAGAACAGGCTTTTTCACAAGGTTTCAGAAGTTCTGCTTCTGGTAGAATGAGACCTACCGCAAGGAAAGCCTTTCTGGTTTCTGGAACCAGGAGAGCAGAGGTGAGCAAAATGAAAGATAATGGTGAAAAAAGTTAGCTAAACAGTCTGAAGATTTCAGAAAGGTTCAGTCTGGGGAGAACTTTAAATACTATCCTGAACCATCTTGGGACCCCTAAGAATAACCAGAGAGGGTTCGGTGGCATCTGCATACCTGACCTTCACACCATGCTGCAACCCAACTACCTACTGGGCATAGTCCCTTCTTGTTCCCGTTTCAGGTCTCTGTCACTTAGGCAGACTGTCATGAGTAAAAAAATGCTTTAATTTATAGATTGTAAAGTGCCCAATCTACAAACAAAAATAGCAATAATGTTCAAGAGAATGGGGAAGATGAATTTTCTGAATTAAAATATTTATCTTTTAGTTCTTCATGCACAGCCAAAGGGAAAAAATGGTAATGACAATACATGCCTGGAAGAGAAGATGCCTTACAGGACAGTGGCGCTTGAGAGAAGAGGAGGAGGGCACTCAGGCACCTGGGCTCACAGCCACACTCCTAACTACCTCCGCGTGTTCAGAGAGTCAAACACAGAAAGGCACACAAGCAATCCCCAGAAAACATGGAACTTATTAGATTTATACTTACTGACAAAGCCTGGACCAAAATTTGGAGGATTAGGCCTAGAAATCTGATGTGTTATACTGCCATCCTAAAATAAGTAAAATTTACAAATATGTTTAATTCCATACTTCAGTTAAAGGGGGGAAAAGTTACATAGATGGTAAAAAAATAGATTTTTTTTAAAAAAACCTTTAATTTTCTAAGATATTGTTAATTTAGGAATTTTATAAAGACTAAGATGACTCAGTGGGGTGGCAATCTTAATTTCTGAGACTCTCGTTCGATCTCAGCTGAAAACCAGTAATACCTGAGATTAAAAAAACATTCATCTGAAAAATGCTACAACAAATCAAATATTCTTAATATTGTTAAGAGTATCATACAAAATTGTACTCCCATGCTCCTGCCGAACTGATAAACACACATTCCAGATTTACCACACACCACTCCACTAAGCTCCCTAACACACACAAATAAAAAAAGGAAAATACATGAATTTAAAGTATCAGTCTCATCTTCTAAATAGTCTTCCGTGAGGGCAACTTTGAATAAACTGTTTTTTCTGTCTCATAATTCCCTAGCAGCTACTTCATAAAATGAATTCTGAAAACTAGCTACCTAGTTGACACAAGTTCTGTCATAACATAAGCTGTGCGCAGGCTAACAATTTACAATGATCGTAGTCATCAGGATGTCTTTTGTATAATCTTTATAACAATACAGGTAGTACCACTATTAGAAAACAGGAGAACCTGCTTCATGGTGATATTGGAGTTTGATCTCAGAGTCCTGTGCTCATTCAGCTGGCCCTCACATTTGAGCCATGTCCTCCATCATTTTTGCTCTTTTGGGGGGGGGTAGTATCCAAGACTGGAACTTGAACTCCGTATCTGATACTTTTGCTTACTGGCTGGCACTTTACCACCTGAGCCATGCCTCCAACCCCTGCTCTCATTATTTTTGAGATAAGGTCTCTTGCTTCCTGCTTGGGCTGGCCTGGACCTCTATCTTCCTATTTGTGTTTTCCACATAGCGAGGATGATAGGCACACAGCCATCATCCCAAGCTACTGGTTGAGATGGGAGCTCCTGAATGTTTTTGCTGCTTTGGCTGGCACTGAACCTCACATATCCACCTCATCTCCTCAAAAACACAAAAAAACCCTTTGCTGTAAAACCCATGTTTTTTGAGTGTACCAAATGGTTTCTTTTGTTTCACTAAGGAAAAGATAAAATAATTAGCATGATGAATACAAAAGTCTAATTTTCAGGGCAAAAATAGAAATCCAAAAGGATATAAAAATAGAAAGATTTTTTTTTCTTTCCCTAAGCAGATAAATAATGGAGCTGAGCACAGGTGGCTCACACCTAAAATCCCAGCTATTCAGGAGGCTGAGATCTGAGGATCAAGGTTCAAAGCCAGCCCGGGCAGAAACGTCCATGAGACTCTTATCTCAAATTAACCAGCAAGAAAGTCAGAAACAGAGTCGTGGCTCAAGTGGTAGAATATTAGCCTTGAGCAACAAAGCTCAAGGCCCGTGTCAAGGCCCTGAGTTCAAGCCCCAGGACCATGCACGCGTGTGCACGCACATACACGTACACAGACATAAGTGAAGATGTGGCTCAAGTGGTAGAGTGTCAGCCTTGAGTGGAAAGGAAAACTAAGAGTACAAAGCCTGGAGTTCAAGACCCAGTACCAGTGCACAAGCACAAAAGTGCGCACGCGTGCGCACGCACACACACACACACACACACACACACAATCATGGGGAAAAATATACAAAAGGAGCATTTTTAAACTTTTAAGGCATTGCTTGACACAGAATATAGCATAAAGAGACTCTGCCAAACCATAATATATCTATTAGACTGAATTCAAACAGTATTTCCTACTGTTTCAGTAGCTTTACATGTTAAATATAATGGATTAATTCCAAAGCCAAAGACGTGAAGTCTTTCAGGAGTAATAAGTAAATGAAAATCCAGAAGCCCCAAGTCCTTAGTTTCCCTGCAAGTAACTTCCTTTCTGTTTCTGAAGGTACAGACCTTCAGAAAGGATGTCCAATTCTTATAACCTTGTCTTTTGTTTTAAAAAAAAATCATACATCTTTATTGCTCCTGTACTGCCAGTGAGTTCTGACAGGGTCCAGGGCAACTACTCCACCCTAGAAGGGGCCTCACTCAGATTGTCTTGGGGAGAAACAGGACCATACCCCCTCCAGAAGTGAGTGACCCACGCAGCATTACCTGAGCAACAGCCTGGGGTACCAGACTCTGTCCGTCAGTGTTCTGTGGGCCAGCCACCGGAGGGCCCATGAAAGGGAATCTGAAAGTGGGAAGCACTGGGTATCAGACAAGGAACATTTACAACTAAAATGACCTCACGTGCTGACGGTACTCATGCAGGAAAAAGAAGAGCACTGGCTCTTCCCCTTCTACCCCCCCATCAAGTATGGACTTGGTACTTGCAAGGGGCTTGGGATAAAACATAAATTCACAAGGACTAGGTAAATCTCTCCCCAAGGACCAGTAAGGCTGTATAAGAAACTACTGCCTGAGGTTAAACCTTAAAAGCTTTCACTGGACCCACAAGGTCTTTGCTTGCTAGCAAGTGCTCTACCACTTGAGTCACAATTCCAGTCATATTGTGATAGATACGATCTCATGTTTTTGCCTGGGGTTGGCCTGGGACCCAAATCCTCCTACTTATGCTTTACAGGTGTGTGCCCCCATGCTTGACTCACTGGACCTGAAAATGATATAAATTCAAGCCTTTAGGATAAAAATATTTAGCTGTTATATAAACTAAGTTTTATGTGTTCCAATCTTGATTAAAAATGAATTGAACCCAGGCACTGGTGGCACACACCTGGAATCCTCGCTACTCAGGAGGCTGAGATCTGAGGATTGCAATTTGAAGCCAGCCCAGGCAGGAAAAGTCCATGATACTTGTATCTTCAATTAACTATCAAAAAGCCAGAAGTAGGACAAGTGGTAGAGTGCTAGCCTCGAGCACAAAAAGCTCAGGGACACTGCCCAGGTCCTGAGCTCAAGTGCCAGGACTGGCACCAAACAAACAAAATTTTTAAGTGAACCGAGCTCAGTGGTAAAGTGTTAGCCTAACCTGCACAAGACCCTACGTTCTATCCCTAGTACTGGAGGAATCCAAAAGAGAATTGTTAGCTGTTTACCTTATTATATTCTAAATGAAAGATGTATCTCAATTAAGATGTTTCACACATTTCCCTGTATCTCTGTATCTAATGATAAAGCAAGTGAAAAACTGGAAACTGACCAATCTATATGGTTAAACTTTTTGGTGAAATGTTATGTATTCTAATTAAAGTCATAAACAATTTACAGAAGCATTGTGGCTCATTTGAAAGTATGTTCTCAATTACAGTTGTATGTTCAACATACGAAGACATGCATACAACACAATTTAAAAACACATTCCAAATATTGAACAAAAGCTTTTGAGCCCTATTAGCGTTTAGATTTTAAACTTCTTTACTCAGAGCTTGGATTCATCACCCTTCACACACACTGCGGTGTGACTTAACACAGAGGCTGTGCACCGCCGCAGTCCTCACCCAAAGGGTCACACTGTTCTCAGAAGGGGCTCATCGTTCCACTTTCTGAAGAACCATGGGAAAAAACCAAAGGACCACTACACACCTACCTGGTAGAGATACCACACTAAAGCACCAGGTGCTCAAAATAACTAATTCTGGGGCCCGAATTTTAAACTAAAGGCTAAATAAAACTGAGCACATCTTTCTAGCCTGACTGCGGGTATAAGGTACAAATGAGTTATAATATTATCAGCAGTATGATAATTGTCTTCAGTAGGAAACTAGTCAATTTTCTATCAAGAGTTGTAGATACCTAATAGGTAACTGCTACTCATTACACTGCAATTACAGGAGTTATTAGGCTCACTGCTAAACTTGTTAATGCATTATAAGCACATCACCAATTTAATCAGTAACTGTGTCTCAAATGTAGGATTTCCTTTGCAATAATGTATGTTTTTATTTCCTGCAGATAAATGTTTTAAGAAAAATGGGATGCTAAAAGTGCCTATGATAGAAAGAGATTGAGAATACATTACAGGGACCAATGGTACCAAACACTGCTCAATAAAGAAAATCATTGAAAACCACTGTTACTGTGTTCTCAAAAGTACCTCTTAATTATGTCCAGAGTATCTTAACAGCTGAAAAGAACTACATGCTAAGGTCTGAAATTCCTCTGAAGCATATTTATTTTAAATCTATGTACATTTTTATATTCAATTCTGAAGTAACTCAGATTGCTTTTTTTTTTTTTGGGTCCGGTCGTGGGGCCTGAACTCTGGGCTTGGACGCTGTCCCTCAGCTCTTCAGCTCAAGGCTAGTGCTCGTCCCTCAGCTCTTCAGCTCAAGGCTAGCGCTCTACCACTTGAGCCACAGTGCCACTTCCGGCTTTTTTCCCCTGCTTATGTGGTGCTGAGGAATCGAACCCAGGGCCTCAGGCATGCAAGGCAAGCGCTCTACCACTGAGCCGCCTTCCCAGCCCACTCAGATTGCTTTTTAACCATTTTTTTTCCAACAAACATTACTCAGGTAATCTGCAGCTTTACGCTTCTTATTGTACTGACAGAGGGTCAGAATTAGCAAAATGCATAACCCATGCAGGAGTCTCACCAAAAGCACAGGCATGCAGGGCCATCCTTAGATACCCTCATTCACTACGTCTGCAGCAGAGAAAAGAAACCTAAATGTAAAAGCTTACTACATAATTGTGATGGTGCTCCTTGATAGAAATCTAAGAAAAACTAGTGTGGCTTTAAGCCTTAGGGGTCAGAATTAATTTCATAATCACTCTAATAATTCTAATAACCCTCTTTTAATACAGAATCTCACTTTTCTCCTAGGCATTAACACAAAACACTTTCCAGCTTCTAATATCCAACTATCCTGTATTGATTCCTCTTCAGTTTCTTTCCTAATTCAATTAATTTGGGGATATTTTATATTAGAGCTGAATGACTTAATACCCCATTATCTTTTAACGGAAAACTCTCTGCCTACATAACCAGTTTTGATTTCCTGATTGATTGAGTCAATCTTCCACATCTTTGTATGATTATTTTATTGGGTTTGCCCTCCTTAATAGTCTACTACATCTGATTATCTTCAACCAATGTAAATAGTCATTTATTTCTATGTTCTATGTTTCAGGTTGTTTGTTTGTTTTTTTTTTTTTTTGTCAGTCATGGTGCTTGAACTTTGGGCTTGGGCACTGTCCCTCAACTCTTCAGCTCAGGGCTAGCACTCTACCACTTGAGCCACAGTGCTGCTTGCTGCTTCTAGCTTTTTCTGCTTATGTGGTGTGAGGAATCAAACTCAGGGCCTCAAGCACGTACTGTACTACTGAGCCACCTTCCCAGCCCTGTTCCAGGTTTTAAAGTGTCTATATGCTCTCTCTAGGGCCAGCAATTAGGCCATGAGCCTTCAGATGTCCAATGAGAAAAAGATCATCTTTACCTACCTGTTCATCACCATGGGCGGCATGCCCAGATTGCTCTGTGCCATCACTTTATTTATGCCTTTCAGGGCCACCATTTTGGCTTTCATGATAGGATCTGTAATTGCATCAAAATCTAAAAAGGAAGTGCATTTTAAAGTTACAGATATCACAATACTTGGTTGAAGTAATACAAACTATTGCAAACTAATAAATTATTTATAGACTCTTTCACCTGACCCTGTAACAATCACTACAGGTTTCTGTAATACATCAGGGAATTATGAGCTGGTAACAACCGTACCCTGAAGTTAAAGGCGTCAGTTAAAACAGGAAGTCTACCAAGTGTACTGATAAAAATGTAAAGGCCATAAAAATGAGAATATACACCCACTAGAATGCTTGTATTTCCATTCTTCAGACAAGGACACTTGTTGACTGTTCTCATACTCAGAGGCAGACATTTTGACTACATGGATCTTTGTTACTATTTTTAAAATTACTAAGCCAATGGGAATGAGGGACTTGTTTGAAAATAAATGGCCAAGTATTTGTTGTACACAAAACAAACTTTTTTGTCATAATTTATCTTCCCATGACTCAGAAATGATAATAATGGCTGGCAGACCCACCTAAGAAGCTGCCTCAAGCTTCTATGAAACGATACCATAAATAGTTTTGAAATTGTATGTGATTTGCAACCAAGTTGTAATTAGAAAGAATTGCTTTCACTTTCAAGTTTCAGGAAGAACAGAAAAATTCTCAGGGTTCTATTCCAAAGGAAATTCCTGCAACCCACCCTAGGGTCTACAGTAATAATTCTGAGACAAAACAGACTTCCTACCAATGTTAGGGAAGAATGGTTCTGACCGCTGACGAATCATGGCTTGCATTTGTCTTTGTTGCTGTTGTTCTTGCCTCTCTTGATCCAAAAGATCCTGCAGAAGCAGAGGCTGTTCCTCTAGAAGGAGAGGTCTCTCTCTATTCTGCTGTTGGGTTAATGTCTGAGGAATCATTAGCTGTTGAGGTCCAGACATGCCAGTGGTACTGGACGGATTTGTGAGAGGCACATTTTGAGTTGTAGGCTTTCCTGTCCCCACACTGTGGTTAACAGTTGACTGAGCCTGAATGAATCCTGGATTTACTTGCACACCCTGAGAAAAAGCATGGTTTGCCCTAGAGACCATTGTTACATTAGAATTCATGGAATTATCCAAGAGAGGGCCAGGTGGTGGCATTAAGGCAGGAGGTAAACTTGCCACACGGCTAGATGGTGAAACCGGCAAAGCTGGTGTGGGAGACCCCAGAGGCCTAATGTCTGAATTGTCAGTCTTTTCATTAGCAAGTAAACGTGAAAGGACAGGAGTGGATCCCATGATATCACAGGTGTTAGTCCCATCCCGAGCGGGCAGTGGTGAGGAGCCTTGCACAGTACTGGTGTTGGAGCCAGCACTTTCTCCACTGGTTCTCTTCTCAAGCAAATCTGGACCAGAAGGCAGCAAAGAAGTCTTTTCTCCATCACGCAGGTCTGGCTGAGCAGAAGCCTGTGAGCATGGAGTGTTCACACAATCTTTACTCTCATCCCCTTTCTCAATGTCACATCTGGCTTCTTCTTTACAATGTGGAGACCCAGTTTCTCTCTTTATCTTCTCACTGGTGGCAGTGGAATTTTTCTGTGGTGAATGGTTATCAGAGAGAACTACAGCTTTGTCTTCTTGCTCCTTTTTTTTTGTTTCAAGAGATACACATGGATTATCTAGCTTATCATCCATCGGAACATTAAGGTCTAGCTCCTCATTAAACATGCTCTTCTTATCCCCCAAGTCAAGTTCTGGGTCTGTGTATGCAATGATATCAAACTCTCCTGACCTTAAGAGGTCATCAAGGTTGGGATCATTTGTTTCCAAATTACCTAAAGTATCCAATTCATCTCCTTTTCCGTCTTCTGGGTCCAAATTTAAATTTTCAAGATCTTCATCATCTAAGTCTTTGACTTCAACACTGTCAAGGTCTTTAACATCTAATTCTTTCACAGAAGGGTCATCAGAGTCTAGTTTTTCTTCTAGACTATCAGAAGACTGGCTGGCTATGTGCAAATTATCAGGTGTTGTTTCAACTGGGGCAGATGTGGACATGGAAGCTTCAGAAAACTCACTGCCCAAGGGATGATTCAGAGGCCTCATAACCATAGAAGTGGGATGAACAGGATGACTTTGTTCTTGTCGAGATGGCGGCACTGGTTCCAAATCAGGATGTGCCTGCAGCTGAGGTGGTAAGCCTTGGGGAGGTCTTCTCATGGCATCTGGATGTCTGGGACCTGGGAAGTCTGGCCGTGGAACGAAGTTTCCATGTCGTGGATGAGGTGCCTCTATCATGCTTCCGGGAGAAGCAGTAAAGGGCAGCCGAGGCCTCCCATCAGGGGCCCTATGCCTCAGCTCAATGAACGCTTGACCTAGTATGTTGTGCTGCTGAACCGGCAGGCCCTGGGGAGGGAAATGCTGGGGAAGCCCAGCTGGATTACTCATTGCTGAGTTACTTAAAGGTCTCGACATTTCCACGGACATTGATCTTCTTAGGTGTGGGGGAATTCCAGATCCTTGCATTTGCTGAGGAGGCACAAGAAAACGATCCTGACTGGACATGGTTCCATGACTACCTCCAGGAAATCCAAATCTGAAACAAACAAGAAAACCAAAGTAAATACTAAAGCATTATGCTGAATTCAGAACTGTGTTGAAAAAAGGAAAAGAAGTTTTAAATTATAGATAAAAAGGATTACTACTGCTAAACACAAAGACTTTTGAAACTGGAATAGACTTTATAGGCATTGGTACATGGCAAAGAGACTGGTATATGGCCACAGGATACACTAATAAACCCATGTGCTTGCAGGAAGTGAGAAGAATAAGATTAAAAAAAAGAAAAAGAAAGGAAGGAACCAGGCACTGGTGGCTCATGCCTGTAGTCTGATCTACTCAGGAGTCTGAGAACTGAGGATCAAAGTTCAAAGCCAGCCTGGCAGCAAAGTCTATGAGATTCATCTCAAATTACCCACCAAAAAAGCCAGAAGTACAGCTATGGCTCAAGTGGTAAGTGCGCTTGCTTTGAGCAAAAAAAAAAAAAAAAAAAAAGCAAGCTCAGAAACAGTGCCCAAACCCTGAGTTCAAGCCTCAGGACTAATACCCTCCACCTCCCCCCACCCTGCAAAAAGACACAACAGGAGAGTAGGCATAGTTTGTAAAGATGAACCATATGCATTATAGGACTATCTTATCTAACCCTAGAAAGAATTACAGGAAATTAAACAAATACAAAACACAGTAACGGGCATAAATTATAACTAAGGTGGAAGAAAAAGGAAAAATAAAGGCAATGATAAATACAAAGATACAGATACTAAGATGAAATGAGCTAAGAATTCTCTCCTTACTGTAAGTAGGGCATACATTTGGCATTGACCACAGTACAAACACTTCAAAAAATGAAACACTGTCAAAATTCATCACTGCTAACTTTACAATCAGATCCCACTACAAAAAGTTCCTAAAGGGAATTGTCCTTTCAATCAGAAAGTGACCATACAAATTTCATATTTTTTTAAATTAAAAAAAAAATTGTGAAAATACTGTACAGAGGGGTTACAATTACATGGGCAAGTTCATATTTTTTTTAAAATAGAAAGAATAGAGATCTGAGGAGAGGACAAATCCCATCGTTGGTCATGTAAGATACCTTGCCATAATGTGTTAGCTACATTTTGGAAGCAGTGATCTGACTGGTATTGATAAACTGTATCCTAATCACTGCCACAATACCAATTAATTCTGAATAACAAAGAGCATGCTGCTAGAATCTTTAAAGTTCTTGGAGGAAGAGAATTTCATGACTTAGTGGAAAACAATGATTCTACCTCACAATGGATAAATAAAAGCAGTAATAATGTTTTGATAAGTAGTAATTCCATTTGTCTAGTACCTTCTAATAGCAATTTAGTTATTTAAATTTTTTTTTGTCAGTTGTGGGGCTTGAACTCTGGGCCTGGGCACTGTCCCTCAGCTCTTCAGCTCAAGGTTAGCGCTCTACCACGTGAGCCACAGCGCCACTGCCAATTTTCTGGTGGTTACTTGGAGATAAGAATCTCACAGACATTCCCCTCCCTGGGCTGGCTTCGAACCATGATCCTCAAATATCTGCCTCTTGATAGCTAGGATTACAGGTATGAGCCACTAGTGCCCGGCTATTTTTTTTTTTTTTTTACAGTACTGAGATTTGAACTCAGGGTCTTATACTTGCTTGGCAGATGTTCTAAGAGTTCAGCCAAGTCCATTTTGCTTCATGTTGAGGATATGGTCTCATGCTTTTGCCCAGGCCAGCCTGAACTACAATTCTCTTTATGATTCCTGAGTAGCTGAATGACAGGCATGCACCACAGCATAGTGCATAAGAGCCTCATGAACTTTTTGCCTGGGCTGACTTTGTAGTAGCTGGGATCAGACTCATGAGGCACTATACCTGTTTGTTTGTTTTTTTAATAGCAATTTACACATGGAAGGAAGTTAAAAGCGTTACCTGAACCCATGAGGTCTCATCCCCATACCAGCAACATCAGGAGGATAGGGTCCACGCTGACCATATCTAGGTCCTAGCGGGGGAACAACTGGAGAACGCACATTCCCAGGGTAGGGAGGTGGAGGTCGAGTGAAAGCCTGGTTGATACTCTCGGGCTGCCAATGTGGAAGGGGCACTGGATGGGGCATTCCTGTTGTATCTTGAGGCCCTTTTTCCTGGCGACTAGCAATCTTCTTCTGCTGCTGCTGCTGGAGGATGATTTCACGTAGCTTCTGCCGCTAAATAGACAAAAAGAAACAAAAATTACTAGAATTTCTGATTGTCAATAGGCTTTTTAAACCTTAAACTTTTGTTATGTGGCTATGGTTATGTTTAAATGTCTAAGTATTTCAAAACTTGATAAACCACTAGTTACATGTACTATCCAGTGAATCATATTTTAAAAAACTGGTAATATGGGTCTTCTTTGCCATATGGCTTAGAGTTATAAGGGTTATATAAGGATTTCCTAACGAATTCATGAAGTAAATCCAATAAATTGGTGTTAATCTTACCAAGTTATTTTTCTTCCTTTATGTAAGTTGAAAAAGGCTATAGACTAAAAAGATAAAAGTTGCTGCTTGATTAAAGAAATAGCTTCTACAAATAGGACATCTAAAACATCTGTAGGGCTGGTGGGTGACTGGGGGTAAAGCACAAAAGCCCTGAGTTCAAACCCCAGGACCATCACCAGAAGAGCAAAACTAAAAAGCCATCTGGAACATGGGCCCTATCTACCTGTCTCATTTTCTCCGTGTCTGCTTGAGACATATTTACAGTGTTCTGTGTGTCAGTTCCTCCTGAGGTTGGCACAGGTCCAGGATGCTGGGGGGCGCTGGGGAACTGCTGCCCTTGGGAACCCATGGCAGGGTTTGCAGACGTGCTGAAGCTCCCCTCCAAGCCAGGTCCTCCCTGGTCGGCAACGTCGTGAACAACTTGACTGGTTCCGAAAGAGTCAGCCTGAGGCCGAGGAGTCCCGGGAGGCTGGTCATACGGATCACGAGCGGAAGACGGGGACACCCGGCTGAATGTGTCGGGAAGGCCAGGTCCCGGTGGCCGAGGTGTTTGGGGACACGTATCAGGTGGCCTTACCAAAGGGCTAGATAAAGCTGGTGCTCTGTTTTGTGCTGCTTGCAGGAAAGGCTCCTGATTTGACACAAGGGCTGGCCTTGCACCTGCAGACCTTGTAAACCCCTCTGAAGTCCGTGGCCGTGGTGTTGCTGGTGGCTGAGAGTAGGAAACGGAAATTCCAGGTCTTGGTGTCCCAGGAGGATGAGCGTACGGATCAGAGTGCCTCTGGTTCGTGGTGGGTGCAACAAACATGTCCGTCTGTGGAGATGGTCTGGGCGTTGGGGGCTGCTGACTGTATGGATCAACAGTGGTAGGCCGGGGAGTTCCAGGAGGTTGAGAATAGGGGTCTGGATTGGACCGAGCCGTTCCTGAGGGCTGGGAATAAGAATCTATGACAGGTCTTGGAGTTCCTGGGGGCTGGGAGTATGGGTCCTGAGATGTTGATCTTGATACAGTTCCAGGCTGGGGAAAAGCCCTTGAAGAATGGGTAAAGGAGTCACTCATTGCTGGATGTGGGGTGAGGGGAGGCTGACTATATGGATCATTTGACTGACCATGAGAAAAATTATCCACGGGTCTTGGTGTCAAGACGGGCCTTTCGTAAGGGTCAACTGACAGTCGTCTTGATGCCTGTGACAGCGATCCGTAGGGATCCTGAGAAGAGGGGGGAGGGTGTAGGGGAGCTTTAAAAGGCCCAGGACCACCATCGAGTGGTGCAGGAGTCAATAAAGGCCTTACATATGGGTCAGGTATCCGTTGTCTCTGAAACACATCTGTCCGAGGAGGTGGCTTAGTAAAGTGATCATTGGTTCCGGCCGTTAGAGGACCCTTTGCAGTTTGCTCTGAAATTAAAGGAGACCTAGGTAGGCCCAAAGGTTTGGGAAACTGATCTGTCATCACGGGTCTGGGCGTATCCGGAGGCTTTGCATAGGGGTCGCTACTTGGTGTGGAGGAAGAACCCAAGTCCCTGGCCGGGGATGGCCTACTGGTTGTTGTCTCACTCATCTGAATGGGCCTGGGTACAGATGATAAAGGCACACAGTTTTCCACTGCTGTGACAGAGTTTTTTCTGGGAAAACTGTGACCCCCAGGAGGTGGTCTAGGGGTACCAACCATTTTTGCATAAGGATCCATTGGAGACAATGGTCGGGGGTTAGAAGATCCAGGTGAAAACATTTGTGGAGAAGGTGGCTGAGAAGGAGACTGAGAAAGAGTCTCCTGAATGGGCACCCGGGAGGGGGTAACAGGAGCCCGTGGAGCTTGTGGCTTAACAAACACATCATCTGAAGGTGTGGGAGCAGGGGTGTTGTGTAGCTGCTTTGAAAACAGGTCTTTATGGAATGTCTGTGCGGGAGACATATTTCCACTGCCTGGCTGAGGTGTCAGAGGACTCTGTGCTCCACTACTTGGAGTATCTGAACCAGATGGAACCAGAAGGTGCTGAGAACCAAGCTGCTGCTGTTGCTGCTGCTGCTGCTGCTGCTGTTGCTGCTGCTGCTGCTGCTGCTCATTCTTTACCTGCTCCAGTTTTTGTGTGGCTTCGATCTTAGCTTGCTGCTTACTTTTCTGACGCATTTGCTTTTGAGATAGAAAATAAAGAACAATCAAAATTGAGAAAGAAAATAACTATCACGAGGGGGCGGGTGAGGAAAGGAGGGAAAGATAGGAGGCAATAGAAAATTAATTTGCCTTATGTCAGTATGGGCCAGATTGCTTCTCTATTAGATTACAAATTCCTGAGGAACAGCAATCATTATTCACTGTAGTATGTGCCATCTACGCCTAGGGCAGTATGTTGTTTATTATGATACTTCACTAAATTTCACAAATCAATTTAAATATATTTTAACTAACATTTCTTATGGTGCATTAAGAACTATATTGTGAAATAATGGAATAAATACCTCTCTTTTCAAAAAGCAAAAGTGTAATCTAAAAAGCAAATAATGTAAGTGCCTCCTACCTGTCTGAATTTCCATTCCTGTTCATGTTCTGATTCTCTTTGCTTTAATGGATCTTTAAAAAGGTCTGCATCCATGCGCACACTGGGGTCGATGGCATCCTGCTGCTGCTGCCTTTTCAAGGAGTCATTGGACATCTGCACTTTATTAATACGTAAGGCAGCTCTGTTATCTCTGGCTTTTTGCTTTAACAAAAAGAGAAAAAAAATGACCTCTCAGAATGTTAGCATGTTCTATATTTGTTTATTTGTAAATACAAGTTAGGTAAAATAGCTGAAATTTATTGAAACAGTAATCTAGAGCTTACAGCCTCTGATCAGAGAGGGCTTGGACACCAAGCCACTTACTTTCTCTCTTCTCAGTGCATTGCATGTTACCCACGACCAGGTATGGACCCCCCTCCCCTCCTCTCTCACTCTTTCCCTCCCTCCCTCTTTCTTTCCCTCTCTTTCCCCCCTTCTTTCCTTCCTTCCTTCCCTCTCTTTCCTGTTGTGGATTTTGAACTCTGGGCCTGGGCATTGTCCCTGAGCAATTCAGCTCAAGGCAAGCGTTCTACCATTTGAGCCACAGCACCATCTGATTTTCTGGTGGTTAATTGAAGAGGCTCAAGGAATATTTTCCTGCTGGGATGGCTTTGAACCGTGATCCTTAGATCTCACCCTCCTGAGTAGGCTAAGATTACAGGTGTGAGCCACTGGTGCCTGGCAGGTATGGACATTTCTATGTACTTTAATCAGCTTAGGAAATCTCATGTAATCTATTTTAATTCTCAACACATTCTTCAACAATGTAATAATTATATGTCCCTTAATATAGAGATAAGAAAAATAAAGGGTCAGAAACTTAGCATTAAAGAAAATCACTGAGAAACATTAAAAATATGTTATTACCTCAGTAAACAAAAGATAAAACCAAATATAGCACATAGGTATACTTGGACACACATATGTACACACAAATGCTCTCTAAATACACTTTATGCAGAGTAATCATGATTGAAATTATATACACTTGGGATCAAGTAGAAAAAGTTTAAACTATTAATATGGATTTTAGTATGATTAAAAATGAAGCAAAAGCCGGGCGCTGGTGGCTCATGCCTGTAATCCTAGCTGCTCAGGAGGCTGAGATCTGAGCATAGAGGTTCAAAGCCAGCCTGGGCAGGAAACTTCATGAGACTCTTATCTCCAATACACCACCAGAAAACCAGAAGTGGCACTGTGGCTCAAGCAGTAGAGCACTCGCCTTGAGCTGAAGAGTGCAGGGACAGCGCCCAGGCCCAGAGTTCAAGCTCCATGACGGACAAAAAAAAAAAAAAAAAAATTAAGAAAAAGGAAGAAAAAAAAAGCAAAGAACTGATTTCAGTGGACAATGTTAATTTGGATCTTTGGGGGAAAATTTCACCATCTGAACTATCTAACTAAATACCCTAACTAATCCCTGTTAAGACCATATTTCAAAATGTCTAGATATGTTTTTTCCAACATGCATTAAGAGAGGGCTGCACATGGTAGCACACACCTGTAATCTGAACTACTAGGGAGATCAAAGATTGGCATGATTGTGTTGAGGCAAGCCAGGCAAAAAGTTCTTAACAAAGAAGCCAAGAGTGGTGGTATATACCTATAAACCAAACTAGGCAGGACTATCAATATCTTAGTTGCCCCAGACAAAACTGTGAGACTATCGGAAAAATAACTAAAGAAAAAATGGGTGGGGGGAGTGTGACTCATATAGAAGAGCACCTGCCTAGCAAGTGTGTGGTCCCTGAGTTCAAACTCCAGCACTGTCCAGCCTACAGCATGGCTGAACTCCCTGTTTTATAAGTAAAGACAATGAAAATAAAGCTTCCTGTTAGTTCAGCAAGTATTTCTTACAATAGAAAAATCTTTATTAACCTAATACAATAAAAACAAGGTGCAAATATTGTGCTTAAATTTTTAAATACCACATATGGTGCTCTTTCCTGAGAGCTTGCTTTTCTCCACAACTTAGCAATTTGCTTTACTCGAGTTGTCCAGTCTGCAAAAGAACAGAGTATATGTTTTCAGAGCAGAGGCCTGGCACAATATAAAAAAACATGAGTGAACTGCTGGCAATTAATCCTAACCAAACCACATTTTCACCTAGTGGTAATTAAACATCTGGAATTACCTAAATTCAACAGTTTTCAAAGCATCAACATGATACTATGAGTGGAAATCGTCACACCTGACCGAGCGCCCATGACTAATGCCTATATTCCTAGCTACTCAGGAGGCTGAGATCTGAGGATCACAGTTCAAAGCCAGCCTGGGGAAGGAAAGCCTGTGAGATGCTAATCTCCAATAAACCACCAGAAAACTGGAAATGGTGCTGTGGCTCAAGTGACTCATCTTGAGCTGAAGAGTTCAGGGACAGTACCCAGGCCCAGAGTTCAAGACTCCCGACTGACCAAAAAAAAAAAAAAAACAAAAAAAAAAACAAAAAAAAGGATCGCAGTCAAAGTGACAGGAAATATACATAAATTTCAAGTTTCGATTTGGGTCTCATTCCAATAGACCTAATGCAATCTCAGTATGTATGTGCAAATATTCTAAATCAGACTACCTTCTGGTTCCAAGAGTTTCTGATAAGATATCCTCAACCTATTAAGTTCTTCAAATAGGATGAAGTTCCTAGTATAGCAGGACAAACAAATTATTTTTTCTTTGTCTCTGTCTCTTTTTCTCTTGGTGGTACAGAGATTTGGACTGAGGACCTCTCACTTGCTAAACAGATGCTACGTTACTTAAGCTATGGTTCCATTTCTTTTTGCTGTGATTATTTTTGAGATAGGATCTTGCTTTCTCCCTGGGCCGTAATGGACTCTGGTCCTCAATATTTATGCTTCCTGCTGTAGCTGGAATAACAGGTAAAAGCCACCACACCCAACTTTCTCTGTTGAGATGGGATCAGTTGAAATTTTATTTCATGTTGGCCCAGGTTGACCTTGAACTGCATTCAAGGGCGAAGTAGCCAAAGTAAAATTGATTCAAGTGTAATACATACTCGTACTCTATAAGATAATATCAGAATGTAAAAGTTTTGTAAATGGTATGCAGCAAACAGAAGTCTATCATTTTGTTTTTGGGTCTGGTCGTGGGGCCTGAACTCTGGGCCTGGGCGCTGTCCCTCAGCTTTCAGCTCAAGGCTAGCGTTCTACCACTTGAGCCACAGCGCCACTTCCAGCTTTTTTTCTTTTTGCTTATGTGGTGCTGGTGAATCGAACCCAGGGCCTCATGCATGCAAGGCAAGCGCTCTACCTCTGAGCCACCTTCCCAGCCTCAGAAGTCTATCATTTTGGCACAAAGGAATTAATCACAAATACCTTTCGCCGGTACTTATATGCAACACAATATGATAAAGTTGTTTGACATACAAAATGAAGCTTGGGTAAGATCACAGTTAATGTCAAATAATAGAAACAATTTACTCCATAATAAAACCAAATTTCAATTAAAGCCAGTAAACATGGAAACTGTTTGACAGATCAACAGTCTTAACACAGTATTCCATGATATCCTTGATTTACAAAATAAAATTATTCCAGAATATTACATCCCTCCCCTCAAAAATCCAGAGTTTTGCTAACATAAGGAGACTTATAAGAATTATGTTCCTCAACTATAGATAATGAATGTGAGAACATTAAACAACCTGAATTCTACTGTTAAATAAAGCAGCATTTGGTTTAGTTCTCTACACAATGAACAAAGTACTGTAGGGAAACTAAACCAAAAAAGGATACACCCATATGGAAAGCTATGTCTAGGTACACCTCTAGAACTTAAAAGAGCTGATCTTCTGACAGATGGCTAAGAAGCTACTGCAAGGTGGAATTTGAATCCACTTTTAAATCAAGGCTTCTCTGACAACATAAATTTAAAATAAGACATTACTGCTAGCAAACATGCAATAATTGACATTTCATTAATCTAAAGTTTTGTCTTCTGGCTAATCAGAAATTCAAAACCACTACTGTCATATCCTCTACATTTCCAAATTGGTGGCAAGGACGGAGGAGGGTCATGAAGGGAGAAGGGTGGCAAGTGAATTCCAATACCAGGAACTGAGAACTTACACTGACCATCATGTGTTTATAAGCATTGCTAGGGAATGAAAACTATTAATATCATTAATTGAAACAACTTTGGAGATATATGCAAATGAGCACAGGACCTAATGCAGTATTTCTGAATTTCTAAGGAATCTTTACCTGGTAGACAATAAAACAAGGTGAAGTCAGTGAAGATACAGTAGATTACACACAAAGTTGATACACATGAGAGAAGGTTGGTAAGATAGAGAGCAGTAATATATTCATGACTCACCAGGGAATTCTTCCTTTAAATTGGGGAAATTAATATTTGTGTAGAGAACTGGAGCTACGGTTGCCATTTCAGCCAGGGCCTCCTCCTTCTCCCACTTTAGCGTGCTCCTCTGGGCATTTGACATGGTATCATTTTCGCATTCCACAGCAGGGACTGATGGAGCCCATGAGCCATTAGGATCACTTCCGATTGCACTGTAGGCTGGGTTTTTATCCCTGGCAAAAAACAAACACCTTCACTTCATCATCAAAAATAACTGGCTAATATCGTGCTCAAGAACCACTTACATTAAGACTTGTGACAAAATAGTTACAAGAACACGTTTGATGATTTGGGCCAAAACCTACAATAAATACAATCATGTACAACAGTTCAAAAGACTGATGAAGGTACAGCAAAAGTTAATATAATCTGAATTCCAAACTAACTAGGGCTTAGTTTTAAATACCTGGCATCAGCGTAAGGGGACTGGGCCACAGCTGGGAAAGTCCCCAATCCGCTGCCCGGAGGCAGAGAGTTATGTGGGAGATGAGGACCGGGTCCAATAAGGCCATTCATGAGTGGCATCCGTGAAAAAACATCTATAGAAAAAAAAATAAAGTAATTCAGCTTGTGTATTGTTTACTCGAGAAGAACAAGGAGCTGAAAAAAAGGTAAGTAAAAAGTTTATATGCTTTTTGAAAGTATTTTTTTCCCCAACATTACATTCTGAACTCTGGTCTCCACCACCATGAGAACTGTAACCAGTTTTGGAAGGTAACTGTACTGGGTGTGTTCAGAAGCTCGGGACTGGATTATCTGCATTAGAAAACTGGAGTGTTCACACGCGGTGTGGGCATTACCTGCAGTCCTCAGCTAGCACTTGGCCAGAAAGTGAACCTACTTAACGCACAGTAATTTCACTGAAACAACCCATCATTTTTATCTTCTCATTACTTATTTTTTCTTTTCTTTAGATCCAAGACAAGAGACTCGAACTTGGTACCTGACACTTTTACTCACTGGGTGGTGGTCTACCAACTGAGTCACACCTTTTCCTTCCTTTCCATTCGAACACTCCTTCCAGATTATTCTTGAGTATCGATTTCATTCTAAATATAGGCATTAGGCAAACTAGACCACATAGTACTTCTCCACAACTCTCAAGTGTATCACTCCAGTATTTATTACTTCTCCACAGATCTAAACCCTTTTAAAAATAGCCGTCTTTACAGAAAGCAGAAAGTGTTCAGACACTGGGAAGGTGGCTCAGTGGTAGAGCCCTTGCTTTACATGCTTGAGTCCCTGGGTTCGACTCCTCAGCACCACATAAGCAAAAAGCAAAAAGCTGGAAGTGGTGCTGTGGCTCAACTGGTAGAGAGCTAGCCTTGAGCTGAAGAGCTGAGGGACAGTGCCCAGGCCCAGAGTTCAAGTCCCATGACCGGACCTCCCCCCACCAAAAAAAAAGGCGGGGGGCTGTGAAGTTGGCTCAGTGGTAGAGTGCTTGCCTTGCATGCATGAGGCCCTGGGTTTGATTCCTCAGCACCACATAAGCAGAAAAATCTGCAAGTGGAGCTATGGCTCAAGTGGTAGAGTGCTAGCCTTGAGCTGAAGAGCTGAGGGACAGTGCTCAGGCCTGGAGCTCAGGCCCCATGACCGACAAAAAAAAAACAAAAAAATCAAAAAGACAATTAACAACAACAGAAAAGCTTTCATATTCTTTCAAAGAGCCTTGCAGAGTAAACAGGATGATTAATGGAAGGATACTGATTGATATATAGCCTCTAAGCTATTATTACTTAGTGCTATGTGTGGCTGGAGACTCACATACTGTCTGTGGTACAAAAGGCAACACACCTATAGAGGATGCTATACTTGGGGTGATATAACTGACTCCTAACTCGATTGCTTTGCCATACTGTTACTGCAATTAAATGAAGAACCCAGAGCAAGGGCACAGACATGATGTGTCATGCAAGATCTATGAACCATATCCTTTGACTGCTCCAAGAATTAGGTGAACTTCGCTCCTGCATATGTGTGAGGACACTGAAGATGATCGCAGACAAGTTTTCAAGCACCTCAAACAAGGCTCTTCCTGCTAAATGCCAGAGTGGACCAACAAGGTCAGGATTCCACAGTGACAAATATGACTCATAACTTCCTGAAAAGGTTAAAGGGTAAGATTGCTGCTTCTATTCAACTTCTGTGAGAAGCAGGTTTCGTTAGGAAACATGCCAAATGTCCTTCATATAATCAGGATAAACAACACAAAAGTGAGAATAAGCTCAGTCCTGCAGCTATAACCAGCACTATCTACTATAAACATTTCACTGATTCTTTTCCTAATGACGAGTGTTTATTATATTCTAAGAGCTTTACATGAATTAACCTGTACACCCACACAAAAGCCCAATAAAACAGCTTACTTTTTACATTTTACATTTTTACATTTTACATTTTTACATTTTAAAAAAAGATTCAAAGAAGATAATTACTGTTCAAGAACATAGAAATAAAATGCAAAGCATCTTTTCTTCATTATTAATTAATTAATTATAATTAAGAGTCTTGCATGTTGTGCAGGCTGGCCTTCAATTGGAGATTCTTCAGCCCCAGATTCCTAAGTGCTAGGATTATAAGCATGCACTACCAGACCTGACTCATCATTAAATTAACACTAAATACACTCTGCCTCACTCTCACAACATTCCTATTGGAGCTCCACTGAGAACAACAGATAACCTTCTGAGAACATCTGATAACCTTGCAAAGTCCTCTGACACTTATACCTTCCAAGTATGTACTCACTCCCCCACTGACTAGAGTTTGTCTGTACTGACCAACACAAAATGGGCGCATAGTCCTCACTCCTCCCCTGGCCTACACCCCTGTTCACTAACACCCAGTCCTTAAAATGGGGGAAAATAAGGAACAAGACCATGTGATCATACTCGTGTTCAGTGCAGGAAATGGAACAATTAATTAAAAAGTCAACTCCTATCTCCTTATAGTGTATTGCTGGAGTCTCTCATCCTTTCCTCCAGTTCAGTGAGCACTCACTACTATGAGAAAGGCCCTATACTTTCATTAGCTTGACTCACTACAACTGCTATGAGTGAGAACAAGGCATATGTCCCATCTCTAACACCAACCAAAAATCAGTCTAGGCCAGGAGCTAGTGGCTCACACCCAAAATCCTAGCTATTCAGGAGGCTGAGATCTGAGGATCATGGTTCAAAGCCAGTTTGGGCAGGAAAGTCTGTGAGACTCCTATCTCCAATTAACCACCAGAAACTTGGAAGTGGAGGTGTGGCTCAAAGTAGCAGAGCACCAGCCTTGAGTGAATAAAGCTCAGGGACAGCGTCCTAGCCCTGAGTCCAAGCTCCACAACTGACCTAACCCCCCAAAAACCCGAAACAGTCTAAAATAAATCCATTGTCCGTCCACTGCTTTGTACAGCGCATGCATGCACATACACATACATGCACACACACACACACAGCGCTTGTCTTTGTCCCTTGATTCAAGTTTATGGCATCATTTTAACCAGCTTGGCTTATACGTGGTTTAATTCATTCTGTGTTGTCCCTCTACCTCCCACCTTCCTCCACTCAGTAACATAACCCTACTTATTCTAATTTCATTGTTTCTCATGCCCATGCCTTCCTTTTGATTATCACTGCAATATCTTTACATGAAGCCTATGTTGAAACTAACCCCCAACCACAATAAACTATTTTGTCTCAAATTTATTTCCAATATTGACCCAGGGCTACCTTGTCAAAACATGTAACAGATGAGATGGGTTAGAGAAATTCATTGCTGTGAGGTCTTCATTGGCTCACAAGCCTGGAGGAGAAAACGCTAATAGTGCCTCTCCCTGGTGCTCATGGTGCTGCCTTCTAAACCTGTCATTCTTCAATTCCTAAGTGTCATCCCACATACAACTGATCATGCTCTACCCTAAACTGGAAGATATATTCTCTAAAAGGGATGTGGCTCAAATGATGTAGTGCCTGTCTAGCAAGCATGAAGCTCTGAAACCAAACTTTAATACTGCTAAAAAAAATAACCCATAAACATTATTCCATGCTTTACTTCCATTATACTTTACTGTAAGTCAAATATATATGAATACACGATGCAGCTGGGCGCCAGTGGCTAACTCGGTAGTCCTAGCTACTCAGGAGGCTGAGATCTAAGGATCCTAGTTCGGATCCAGCCCAGGCAGAAAAGTCCATGAGACTCTTATGTCCAATAAACTACTCAGAAAAAGCTGGAAGTGGCACTGGACTCAAGTGGTAGAGCACTAGCCTTGAGTACAAAGAGGCTCAGGGACGGTGCTCAGACTCTGAGTTCAAGCCCCAGGATCAGGGTTAAAAAAAAAAAAAAAGACTACAATACTTGGGTTGTAAATGCAGGGGCATATGCAATCTTATTACTCATCTTACAACACATTTAAGCATCTAGCCAAAAAATAAACCAATGAACAACAACAGAAAAACCCAATCAACTCTTCAAAAAGAAAAAAAAAAACCTTTCTCTAAGTGAGACTTAAGTAATTTTCATAATACCTAAATACATACTCTAAAATACATACTTCATCTCTAAAATATACTTTCACTTATAGAAAAGGCAAATCATTTTTATAGGCTGAGAAGAGAAATTCAGAGAAGAATTCATAACATTAAAATAAAAAGCATCTGGGAACAAGCAAGGCAAGAAATAGTAAATCAGATGTTGAGTAACTATCAAAGTGGATCTATCTTTAGAAGCTAAACTGGTCAAAACTCAAATATTTCAATTAAGTATATTGTGGACATTTTCATGTATCCATACATGAAAAATTTATCTTTGGTAACAAAGATAATTTGTGTATTTAATCAATTGTATATAAAGGTATCATTATAGTTCTCAATTAATTATATAAACATGAAACAATATCAATAGAGAAGTTATTTTACACAAATTAGCAATACTGTATACCACCACAGAATTCTAAATTCCTTTCAGAAGATTCTTAAGCCTATAGGCCTCAGTCTTCCAATCTATTCCTACACACCTTCTCTTTTAAAATTTATTTTTATTTTTTTGTGCTAGTCTTGGGGCTTGAACTCAGGACCTGGGTGCTATTAATAAGCTTTTGTGCTCAGGGCTAGAGCTCCACCACTTGAGTCACAGCTCCACTTCTGGCTTTTTGGTAGTTTATTGGAAATAAGAGTATCATGGATTTTCTTGTCTGGACTGGCTTTAAAACATGATCCTTACATCTCAAGAGTCTAAGTAGCTAAGGTTACAGATGTGAGCCACCAGAGCACAGCCGAGACTTTAATTCTTGATCAGTAAATTTCAGCTCTCCAGAAAGAAGACAAAATTCAAGTCTTAAACTTACATTTTATATGAGGTGATTGGTATCAAATGCATATTTTAGTCCAGGATCAATAATCAGTTCCTCTTAATTTGTAGGGCTTTTTCTATTTTCTTTAAAATTTTACAATGAGGATTCATTTGGAAACTACATTTTAAATTTTGGGACCAAACTGTTTCTTATTTGGGAGGATAATGTATATACATTGTTATCATGTTAAATAATAAAGTTGTTCTAATTTGGTGCCAAAAACAAAACCTGACAAAATAAACAAATTTCCACCAAAAATTCTTAAGACAGGTTACTATAGTTGGATATGTGTACTGAACACATACTGTGTGGCAGCAAATACAAGGATGGGCACACTGTGACCCTTGTGTGTGTGTGTGTTTTTTCCGGTCGTGGGGCATGAACTCTGGGCCTGGGCGTTGTCCCTCAGCTCATCAGCTCAAGGCTAGTGCTCTACCATGTACCACGTGAGCCACAGCACCACTTCCGGTTTTCTGAGTGGTTTATCGGAGAGAAGAGTCTCATGGACTTTTCTGCCCGGGCTGGCTTTGAACAGTGCTCTTCAGATCTCAGCCGCCGGCGCCCGGTGGGACCCTTGTCTTTTAAGAGCTCACAATCACAAGAGCTAAGCAACCTTAAGTACGGAAGCAGGTATCTATCTGTGCCCACACATTACAAGTCAAAGAGCCTGATGGTAGAAATGGAGGTGTGACTGCCTACTCTGAGGAAATGACAAGAAAACCAATACCAGATCACTGAGAAAGCCAGGTGACAGTAGCCATGATCTTCTAAACAGGGTAGTCAGTATATAAGGAATGACCACTATGAAAGTCAGCTAGGGGGTTGGGACTAAAGGAAGAAGGAGGGAGAGAAAGAGACAGGCACCATTACAACTTCACCACTGCCCAATTCTGGTCCTCAGATGAACCACAGATTTGCAGAGAATTTCAACAAGGTTGGTATGTGACTGAATTGATGGTTACCAAACATGGGTCTTCTATTGGTTTGTGCATGTGGCTAGATATGGCAAAACTCATTTGCATCTCTCTGTGTGTGACTGTACTATAGAACCACGCTTATACAAGTTGTGGGGTAAAATGGGGGAAAATGAAGGGGTGACACTGTCTAAAAAGAATCATACTCATTGTCTGACTTATGGAATGGCAATTCCTCTGTAGAGCAACTTAATAATAACAATAAAATTGCATTTTTGAAAAAGCTGCAACATACCCTGATTGTGCATTGACAACAGCTGTGGTGGAGGCGGGGGCTGTGGCAGTGGAGTCGGCTGACTGGCCGCAGGACTAAGCACTGCAGTAAACAAGTCTTCAACGTCCTTTCCTCCAAGCTCTGGAAAAAAGCACAAGTAAGATTTAGAAACTATTAGAGACATAGTATGGAAAAAAATGTCATTTTTAGAAACTAAAAATTCAGAACACAAATACCTGGAATTTTATATAACTTTCCAAGAATTGCTCCTAAGAGATAAAAAAAGAGAGAAAGAAATATCAACAACAACTCAATATATTGATACAAAACAGCATTTGATATAGAAATTATGAATATAGAAGTCAAATTATAAATAAGCATGCAGAAGTCTTTGAAAGTCATATTTACTCATGTCTTTTAGCAAGCCTAGATGTAGGGCAAATATTTTACCATCTGTGACCATTTTGTCTAGCTCAGGACTGAGGATCCCATCTAGCTGCTCTTCACTTAAAGGTCGTGAACTCTGAGTGACACTTGGCTGAGGTAAGGAGGAAGGGTCACCAGCAATAGGACCAATATCTAAAAGAACAAAATAAGTAAAAAGATGATTTCAGAATACGCACACAAAATGCACAATACTATCGACGTGCATTTCCATACAACTGTATGATTCAAATAGGTGAACAAGGTTTATGGTCCCAAATCAGTCAAGATTCTTTTTTTTTTGTAGGTCCCGTGGGGCTTGAACTCTGGGCCTGGGCGCTGTCCCTCAGCTCTTCAGCTCAAGGCAAGCGCTCTACCGCTTGAGCCACAGCACCACTTCCAGTTTTCTAGTGGTTTACTGGAGATAAGACTCTCATGGACTTTCCTGCCCTGGCTGGCTTTGAACCACGATCCTCAGATCTCAGCCTCCTGAGTAGCTACGATTACAGGCGTGAGCCACCGGCGCCCGGCCAGTCAAGATTCTTATAATAGGAGAGTACATATATAAAGTAGAAAGTATTTAGGAACTTAGGTACCACCCAACTTATCTTTATATCAAAATAAGTTATTTATTGAGAAATAAAAGGCTATACCTGACAACTTGGCAAAGATTAATCTAACCCCCATATTAGGGCAGGAGGCTATGAGATTAATTATATAAATAATTCTTTTAACTTGTAAAACAGAAGTTCCCTTGTACAACTCAATTTTGATGTGCAATTTGAATTTTTGGAAACTTTAGCTGTGCTGTCAACTTTGGAAAAAGTATCCCAGTTTACCGTGTTGAGTTGGCATGGTACAGAAATTAATAGCCATATTGGTCTAGAAATGTTAAACTTAATTTTTTTCCATTTGTACAGGGGTAAGGTCTTATCTACGTGGGTTTGATTACAGAAACTAATAAAGTATTCTCTAAATAATGAAAAAAAATTTTGATGTGCAATAATACATATACAAAATAGGAGGGATAAGTTCCATAAAATTTAATGAAAAGCTACCTAGACACTAATGTTTAACAAACATTCTTTATAAATAATTCCAATTGTAAATTATTTTCTAAAATACTCTCTAGTCACATTCTACCATCTACTTTACTTTCATGCTATTTCAATATTACTTTTAAAGAGTCAAATTTAGTTGTTTATATTGAATCTTATTAGAAACTAATGTTTGGGTAAAAATAAACTACATATTAATACAAAAAACTCTATACATTACTAAGAAAGTCATTGAAAGCACAGTAGCAAGTATACTATGCTTTAGCTGTACACAAAAAGGAAAAAGCAAAGTATGGATTAGTGACAAATTAGCACTACTAGCAAATACGCATGCACCTACAAGCTGTTTCAGCTTAAGAAAGAAGACTACTTCTAGTTAGCGTTCATCCATTGCTCAGTTCTTACCAAATGGGAAAGGTGAACTCCCAACCTGGAAAGTGCATAAATCAAGACCTACAAGACCCAAACCAAATAAAATGGATGATTACCACAGGAGCAGGGAGGGAGGGAGAAGGCACACCAAGAAGAAACAAGGTGTAGCAAAACCTCAAGGCAACATGCCTTAAATCTGACCCAATCAAAAAGACAAGAGAGGACTAACTAGGTCCCCTCCTAAAGCAGGAAAGCCAAGATAGAATAAAATGGTCACTTCTTTGACAAAGTGAAACAAGCAAAAACAAAAAAATAAAACACCCACTTCAGGTAGTGAGAATCACATGAAGCCGGAACTTCCACCCGTGTACACCCACATTACATAACAAAATCAGGCAATCAGTATTCGTATATACCTGAATGATCAACTGATTTTGCAAGGTCATCTGAGATTATTCCAAGAATGTCATCATCTGTGTTTAAGACTTCAGAAATATCAGCTAATGGGTCATCAGCAGTACCTAAATATAGTTAAGAATAAAACTTCAGTATTTCCTTAGACATTAAATTCTAAAGTGACTCACTGGTTCAACCACTTATTTAATAAATACTTCTAGCTTGGTAGTTGCTAAGGCAAGGGCAGGTGAAAGAGACTCAAGATCATCACTTCTAAAGGAATTTTCATAGCAAAGACACTTTTTTTTTTTTTTTGATCGGTCATGGGGATTGAACTCTGGGCTTGGGCGCTGTCTCTCAGCTCTTCAGCTTAAGGCGAGCACTCTACTGCTTGAGCCACAGCACCACTTCCGGTTTTCTAGTGATTTTTATTGGAGATAAGAGTCTCAACGGACTTTCCTGCCTGGGCTGGCTTTGAACCACAATCCTCAGACTTCAGCCTTCTGAGTAGCTAGGATTATAGGTGTGAGCCACCAGTGTCCGGCTGACACTCATATTTTGAATAATCAAAAAGCTTAAAAATTGGGCTGGGAAGGTGGCTCAGTGGTAGAGCGCTTGCCTTGCATGCCTGAGGCCCTGGGTTCGATTCCTCAGCACCACATAAGCAAAAAGAAAAAAGCTGGAAGTGGTGCTGTGACTCAAGAGGTAGAGCGCTAGCCTTGAGCTGAAGAGCTGAGGGACAGCACCCAGGCCCAGAGTTCAGGCCCCATGACCGGACCCCCCCCCAAAAAAAAAGCTTAAAATTTTAAACTTTTTTGTGACATATATAGTGACAACATGAAATTTAGAATAAAGATACATAGACAAGAAAATAGAACTTTAAGAAACAAAACAAAAAAGTCATTGCATTAGTAGCACCTTTAAAAATGACAGCTAGAAACCAAAATAAAAAAGAAAACATGAATTACTTTGAGATTCTTTAAGAGGCGTAAGCCAGGTATAAAACTTCCCCTGGCATTTCTGTTTATACTGATTAGTACTCATCCATTCATCTTTTAAAAAGTGTTTTTGTACTTAAGAACTATGTGAACAGAGTACTTATCAGCCACTGTTCTGCCCAATGCAACAAGATAGCCACGGCTAAAGCAAAGGGCCTACCTCCGCCCAGTAGTAAAGTGGCATCCCTGAAATAAGAAAACAAAAAGCTATCCAGGATGCTGCGTTTGACAAAGCAGGCAGAAAAGTCCCTTTCAAAGATAACAGGACACAGATCTAAATCCGATGGAGTACTATGCTCCAAGATAGCATGGATACTATGGCAGGCACAAAGAAAGCAGCTGCAAAGGCCTGAACAGAGAGGGCTTGTCCACACACGAAGCCAGAGTAGTCAAAGCATCCAAAGGAAAGCTGGAAACAAGCAAGATCGCATAATTTTGTAAATGGCAGTGAAGATTAGTTCACTCTCGTGTGTCAGGGGGCATGGCAGATGTGTGCACAGATGCTTGTTGAAGGAGGGTGTGGGGGCGCTGGTCTGCTGCAGCGAGGTGGGAGGGGGTGAGCACCATTGCTGTCACAGTGGGGAAAGGTGAGGTAAGAGGAGGAAAGTTTTGGACAGATTTCGAGGGAGAGACAGACTTGTGGATGTGAAAGCTGTGAAAGGTGAGGAATGAAAGTAGAAGGATTCTGGGGTTTCCAACCTAGTCAGGTGGAAAAATAGACTGCAGCTCTCATTTCGGCTAGCTTTAGTGATTCTATTAGTCATCCAGTTAAAGTGCAGATGGCTATAAAGCTGGATGTGGTGGCCCCTACGTATAATCTTAGCACTTATGCAAAAGAATCCTTGTGTTCCAGACTAGCCTGGGCTATACAGCAGAACTCACAAAAACAAAAACACTGAAAATTTTAATCCATCACAAGTGTGTTTTTACTTAAGAGATAAAAGAAACAAGCAAAAACCTCTGTGTATCAAGTGATGGCAGCTCGTAACTGCAATTCTAGCTACTTGGGAGGCTGAAATCTGAGGATTGCAGTTCAAGGCCACCCCGAGCAGAAAAATTTGTGAAATTCTTATCTCCAACTAACCACCCCAAAAAAGTTGGAAGTGGAGCTCTGGCTCAAGTGGTAGAGCACCCACTAGTCTTGAATTAAAAAAAAAAAAGCTCAGGGACAGTGCCAAGACCCACGTTCCAGCTGTGGGACCCCCACCAAAAACAAACTTCTGTGAACAAAAACAGTCCTAGTTAAAGTGAACATACACTTCTCAAAAGGAATTCATCAGTAACATAATATTTCAAATTAAAATAATCAGAGAGCTTAAAGAGAACTATTGTCTAGCCAGGCATGGGTTGCTCACGCCTGTAATCCTAGCTACTCAGGAGGTGAGATCTGAGGATCACGGTTCAAAGCCAGCCCAGGCAGGAAAGTCCCTGAGACTCTTATCTCTAATCAACCACCAGAAAACCAGAAGTGGTGCTGTGGCTTAAGTGGAAGAGCACTGGCCTTGAGCTGAAGAACTCATGGACAGTGCCCAGGTCCAGAGTTCAAGCTGCACAACTGACCAAAAACAGAGGGAACTATTGTATAAATAACAAGAATGAAACAAACTGCTGCCAATTCTTTAAGAGGTAATCTAGCTTTAAAGAAACAGAATTCTACTAATAAATTATAACATTAGAAAATATTTTTGGAGGGCTGGGAAGGTGGCTGAGTGGTAGAGCACTTGCCTTGCATGCTTGAGGCCCTGGGTTCGATTCCTCAGCACCATATAAGCAAAAAGAAAAAGCCAGAAGTGGCGCTGTGGCTCAAGTGGTAGAGTGCTAGCCTTGAACTGAAGAGCTGAGGGACAGCGTCCAGGCCCAGAGTTCAGGCCCCACAACCGGAACCTCCCCCCCCGCCGTCCCCCCCGCAATAAAAAAATTTTAGAGCTGGGCGCTGGTGGCTCACACCGGTAATCTTAGCTGCTCAGGAGGCTGAGATCTGAGGATAGAGGTTCAAAGCCAGCCTGGGCAGGAAACTCTGTGAGACTCTTATCTCCAATACACCACAAGAAAACTGGAAGTGGTACGGTGGCTCAAGCGGTAGACAGCACCCAGGCCCAGAGTTCAAGCCCCACGACCAACAAAAAAAAAAAAAGAAAAAGAAAAAATATATCTTTGGCAGTATAGAAATTTGAACTTAGTGCTTCACATCTGCCAGTTCTACCAACTTAGTGCTTCACATCTGCCAGTTCTACCACCTGAGCCATCCCCTGCCTGTAATTAACTTTGTTTTTCTTCTCATGCTGGTACTTGGGCTTGAATTCTGGAGCTAGAACACTGTCTCTCAGCTTTTTTGCTCAAAGCTAGTACTCTACCACTTAAGCCACAACTCCCTTCCAATTTTAATAATTAATTAGAGGTAAGAGTCTCACGGATTTTCCTGAAGGGACTGGCTTCAAAGCTGTAATCCTCAGGTCTCAGCCTCCTGAGTAGCTGGGATTACAGGAGTGAGCTACTGGTACCTGGCATGTAACTAATATTTTTTAAAGACTATGCTTACCAAGAATGTTCCTACCTAAAGTACAAGATTTTCTATCTTAACAACAAATCATTAAAATTATCTAATGCACTATACTGAATAAAATGTAAAAGGAAAAGCACTTCCACTCCTCAATTTTCTATATAAAGGTGAAGAATAGGAAGACTGTGAGAATAAGACATTGGCTTAAGTGTTGAAATGGTGCTGTTTTAGCCCTCCAACATTTGAACTTCTTGCAAAATCATTATCTCTTTAGCAGTTTTGTGGGAGCAAAAATAACATATCAATGTCTTAAGTATCACAATATATCCTGTGCCTAGTATAGTTCTTTTCCTTAGAAAAGTATGGATAATTTCTAAGTCTTTATATATATTTTTTGTCATGGTATTTACAAAATACTCCTTGAAGGATTCACAAGTCTTTTGTTTTTTTCTTTTTTGGTCGTAGGGCTTGAACTCTGGGCCTGGGCGCTGTCCCTCAGCTCTTCAGCTCAAGGCTAGTGCTCTACCACTTGAGCCACAGCACCACTTCAGGCCTTTTCTGCTTATGTGGTGCTGAGGAATTGAACCCAGGGCCTCATGCATGCAAGGCAAGCACTCTACCACTGAGCCACCTTCCCAGCCCAACAATATGTTGATATGGATTAAATGTGGTAAAGTACTGAAAACGGAACAGAACTTTTCTCCCTCACTGCCAGTGCTGAGGTTGGGTGATGTGTGGAGGGCTGGAGAGAAGACTGCTGTTAGTGATTTAAAGAGGCCTAAGTGTGCATAGGTGGTCCCCTCAGTCTCCATGGAGGACTGGCTCTGGGCCCTTCTGTAGATACTATCATCTGCGGGTACTCAGTCCTTGGTCCTTCCATTCTGCAGAGACAGAGTCAACTGCATTTTAGTCTAGCACAGTGCTTAAGAAAATGGTCACTATTTAAATCAAGTAATTTTTTTTCAGTGAAGGACTAACATAAAATGTTTTTCAAAGCTGGGAACTGCTGACTCATTTCTATAATTCTAGCTTCTCAGAAGAGTGAGATCTGAGGATCACAGTTCCAAGCCAGCCTGGGCTTTAAAAAAGTTTGTGAAACTCTATCTCCAATCCACTAGCAAAAAAGCCAGAAGCAACATGGGTGTTGGTGGCTCATGCATGTAATTTTAACTACTCAGGAGGCTGAGATCTGAGGATCACGGTTCAAAGCCAGCCCGGGCAGGAAAAGTCCATGAGACTCTTATCTCCAATAAACTATCAGAAAACTCAGAAGTGGCACTGTAGCTCAAGTGGTAGAGCGCTAGCCTTGAGCTAAAGAGCTGAGGGACAGCGCCCAGACCCAGAGTTCAAGCACCACCACAACAACAACAAAAAGCCAGAAGCAGAGCTCTGGCTCAAGCGATAAGAGTACCAGCCTGGAGTGAAAAGGCAAAGGGACAGTACCCAGCCCCTGAATTCAAGTCTTAATACTGGCACAAAAGGAAAAAAAAGTATCAAAACGAGTTTCTAAAATTAACTAACACATGTAATACCAAAAACAAAAATTGTCAGAAAAATATAAACAGAGCCTGGCGCTGGTGGCTCACGCCTGTAATCCTAGCTACTCAGGAGGCTGAGATCTGAGGATCGAGGTTCAAAGCCAGCCCAGGCAGGAGAGACCATGAGACTCCTATCTCCAATAAACCACCAGAAAACCGGAAGTGGCGCTGTAGCTCAAGTGGTAGAGCGCTCGCCTTGAGCTGAAGAGCTGAGGG